TATGTTTTAAATGGGTCTTTCATACCTGGTATGATTTTTTAGTTCCGGGCCAACAGAACCCCACACCCTTCACCCCCTCCTTCACCCCCCAACAAAAGAAGGAAAAATGCATTTATAAATATATATTGATTTATGCTCATTCAAGTATAATTGCTGATATTTACAAGTGACCACTACACTAACAACTGATGCTTAAACTATAATATTGTCATGTGATGTCTAAATTCAAAGATGCTGAATCATGCAAGGTTGTGCGACAAATAAGTCATTTGCTTAAATGTGATATTTTATGCAGGCTACAAGTTTGATGATAAAAAACCTGAGTCACGGGCCTTAAAATTGCAATTTGCTCACTTTCCTTTCCGCCCACCACCTGATCAAGGCAAGCAGCTCATCATTATGCCAGGCTGATTGGAATGGTTATTATGGGTCAAAAAATGTTTGATATTGTCAAGAGGAATTATATTAGTTTGAGATTTGCTCTTAGATTCCAGAATTAGATCACTTGCTTGGGTGATAAAACAGAGTTACATGGATGATAGGCATAGCATCCGTTTATAGGCTCAATCTCTTGATGATCAGTTGGCATTATCATGTAAGTTTTAGTCCATATAATCCAGGATGGACATTTACCATGTTCACAATTTTAAGAGTTGCACCTTTGAAGTCAGATCTAATTTTTTCCCCAGATCACTTCATGCAGTATCGTCTTCAGAACATGTTAATCTAATTTTACAATGCGCTCTCATCTCACCCCCCATCCTCACTTCCAGGCCTGGGGGTAATTTGAATAGTAAATGGCAGATTAAAAGGGTTTGTTTCTATGTATGCAGATAATTAGCCCCAAACAACTTGCTAATCCGCAGTATTCTAGCTTTATTGTTGGGCAATGGATTTGCTGATGCACAGATAAGATGATTGGTGACCAGGCTGGAATTCCTCAGCACCTGTAGGGACTTGCCACTTGACGTGCCTAGTTGTAATCCCCCTAGAAGACTGATGTATCTATCATAATCTGACGGCATCTTTTTTGTGCTCTAAAGTTCTTCTGGCACTTTCTTAATGATGTTGGGGAGCATGGCTAAAACGGCCGTGTCAATTTCTGTCCTTCCCTAATCGCTATCTGATACTTTTTAGAGAAGTCGGCTTCTGGGGAGGGAAAAAAGCCTTGGTTCACAAATCCGAATTTGCATATTTGGAAAGTGGAACGGTCTAGTAACGATATAGCGATGTGATATGAAAAGAGAGAATTTTGTGAAAGAAAAAAAAATGTCGATGTTTTATAAATGAAGAATAATACAGAAGTCAGATGTTCCTGAATAATGATAATAACTTATTTAAGAGTATGTTCTAAAATTTCTGTAAGCTACTCAGGGTATGTAAAATTATTAGAAATCTGATTTCTTAAATATTATTATTTTTAACCTCGAATGAACATTCTAAAATTTTTTAAAAGTATTTGAAAATTAATAAATTTTTCGTAAAATAAAAAATATAGCCTCAAATGAGTTCGTTGTTTAACATGGCAGTTTATCGCCATAATAATAACGACGACATGGTAATGAGGAGATACTGATAATAATAAGGAAAATAATACTACCCCCATTTCTGTTTATAAGGAATAATTGCTAAAATTATGCAATTTAAAATGTTAATTAGATTTAGTTAAAAGTAATAAATGTGTCAAATATATATATATATCTTTTTCCAGTTATACTCTGTCAAAAAAAAATTATATCTTTATTTAAAGAGAGTATATAAAAGATAATAAGTGATAATTTATTGCAAAGAGTTTAATTAGGGTAAAAATGGAAAGACAAATTTAAATTTTCGGACAAAAAATTAATTTTTATATTTAGAAAAGAAACGGAGGGGCTAATAATAATAAGAGCATAACATGTGATGTTATAAAGTTGGGTCAGACCGTATGTATGCAAATCTATTTTAACTGCATTTATTTTTATACCACCTCAGTACCTTCTTGTCTTAATATAAAATCTCATTTAACTTTTATTTTGGTACTAAATATAAGACTTCAACTTACTTTGTCTCTCATATATGTACATTTTTTTTCTCAAAGTAGTCTTTCTAATAATATTAATTTTAACCAGTACATTTGATTAATAATGATATTTTATGAAAGATAACACCCATTTATTATAAATAACTAACTTAACTTATTTTTTTAATTTTCTCAAATTAGTCAACTAATTTTTATATTTAGAACCGGAGATAGTAATAAGAATTTGAATTCAAGATCTTATTTGAGGGGATAAGCTCTGCATCACTTGAACTTCCCATCATTAATACAATAACTCTCTAGTCTCTACATTTAAACATTTGTTTTTTTTTTTAAAGTCAATTAGTATAATTTATTGATAAAGAATGGTTATATACCTGGCAGAAAATTTAAAATTTTTAATTGCTGCCGCGTCGTGTTTCATCAGAATGCGCAAGTGTTTCTCTCACTTTCTGGTACGTACAAACAGATACAACCTGTAAAACGAGACCAAATCAATGAAGTGGCATAAGGCTGAATAAAAACCTCTGTATTCTCAGGCCAATATAAACAGAAGAAGCATGTCCTTCTTTTTAATTCCTCCCCGTGTACGCAGAAGAATGTCTGTTGTTATCTTTGTTTGTAAGATTTCACCAAACTGCGAAAGAATCTATGGAAAGCAAAGGAATGCTAACAAGGGAATATTCTATATAATTGAGCACATATCGTCATTCTTATCTGTCAGTATAAGTATAGAAGTACAGGATTCTAGTCTGCGAATTTTACACATAACTTTGCACTCCATTAAGACTATAATCATACAGTAGGTAAAGGGGCGAATGAGTCTTTCACAAAGCCCTTCTAATCAAGATAAATGACTTTGACCAAACAAAAAAATAATGGTAAATGACTTCAATACCAATCTATAGAAAAAAACGAGACTAGAGAAAAGAAGTGCCAGCAAGGCCATGGTGTAAAAGATTGTGAGCAATTAGGTCCCTAGCCTTCATAGACTTTACTGATCTCAAAGCAACATCTGGCACAATCTCATCATCAACAAGTTCAACCATAAGCTCTGGATCCATTTCTTCATTCTTAAATTCACATATATTATGCAGAACACAGCAGGCAGCAAGGATAAGAGGCAAATCTTGTAGTTTCACTTCTGTCCTTCTTTGCAGGCAACCCCACCTTCTTTTCAATCTGGCAAAAGCATCTTTTGAAACTTTTCGAATCTCTTCAATCTTCTCGTTAAAAGCATGCTGTGTCCAAGTCAGGTTCTGCTGACTATAAGGCACTAGAACCCAATCCATTAGAGGATACCCTGAACTCCCAACAATCCACATACCATTCAGAAGTCCTCCATTAGCCTTTTCATAAAGTGCAGATTTCTGTAACACCTCATCATCAGACATAGAACCAGGCCAACCAATAGAAACATCTGTAAACACACCTCTTGGGTCAACGACACCCTGAACTGTAACTGAATACGAAGTTTTCTGATTCCTCTCTGTGTGATTCTTATTATAATAAGCTGTAACATTAACCTTGGGAGCTGCTATTGGGATATGTGAGGTAAACATGGACCCCACCACATTGGGTATTCCTGAGATGGATTCAAATTCAGCTTTGAAGTTCCTTGTTGTAACTTCATCAGGCCATTGCAAGTACTTACGCATCAGTACAGACCTTATGGCCGTACAAACCTCAAGAATCAACTTGTGGCAAGTTGATATGCCCAAACCAAATTTCTGTGATACAAGACGAAGAGGATCGCCCGTGGCTAACCTCCATATACAAACAGCCACTCTTTGCCTCACAGGAATTGCATTTCTGAGAGTTGTGTCTCCTTTCGCGATCGCGGGATTGAGCTCCTCGCAGATCATATCGAAAGTAGCTTTTCCCATTCTAAACGCTTTCTTGAACTCTTGTTCAGGAAAATCCTGGTGGTTACATTGTTGCCACCAAGCCCCTGAACGATCTTTCACCCACAGCCTACGTTGATGGCGAGGCCCACTATCTGCGGCTCCGGATTTGAGCTCTGATACATCACAAACTGCCCGTCGGGATTTCTTTCTCTTGCGAGTTCGCTTTGTTCTTTCAAATTCATCGTGAAGACAGGAGTTACATTCTAGCATGGATTCAGCGTTCCTCTTGAGGCTCGGTTTCTGATCATCCTCGGTGGAGGAGACCTTGTCGAGGTTATCGTCATCATCATGCTTCTCATCATGATCGTCCGGCAACATCAGCAAAGTAAGAATACCCTTCAATTCGTTCTCCTGAGTTCCTTCCCTTGGAATCGAAGGCTCGTCATCGGCGTCGTGACGATGTTGAATTTCCCGGCACCGTTTTCCGGAGGTGTCGGCATTCATTTGATGGAAAGAAGGGCGAAGCAAGGTATGAATGTAAGAGATGTATTGTGGGTCGGCAAAAGTTTGGAGCTTCATACACAGAAAGACAGGGAGAGACGGAAAACGAAGATGCAAGTTGGAACGCAGCTCACTCAAAACACAAGGTCGTCTTCGCTTGGCGTTCAGTTTCACCTTCCAAGCCCATGATTATATGGTGTGAAACCATAGTGTGAACGCCTATTCTAAATTCAACAAACGACGAATCCGTTAGTTTTCAATATACTCCTCCGGTCTTTAATAAAGAACTCAATTATTGAGTTAGTTTTGGTTTTAAACATAAGACCTATTTTTTATATTTTTTAATTTTCTCTAAATTACTCCTATAGATACTCTTTCAATCATAATCAAGTAGAAAAGGAAGAGGGGTATTAAGAAAGATGATTATGGTATTTTAGGAAAAACGTGTCACATTTCTTATAATTAAATAATTTACCTAACTTTCTTAATCTAATCAAACTATTTAAATGAGTCTTATATTAAGGATCAAAAGAGTATATTATAATAAATATAATTTTGGAAAAATGACAAATAAATAAGTTGAAAAATATGATATTTCAAATCAGATATCTAAGAGTTAAAAATAAAATAAAAAGAAGTGGTGCTTAATCTACTATATGGTTAAATAACTAAAATGTCTTTATATTAAAAAAGTTTATTAATAGGTTTTAAACTGATAATGACAAATGTTGAATAACAAATAATAAAAAATGTATTAGCATTGACAACTTATTTATTAATAATAGTAAGTGTTGAATAGCCGATGATAAGAAATGTACTGACAATAACAAGTTAAATAGCTTTTTATCTTTCAAATATGATAAAAAAAATATTTTAGTCATTTAACTATATTTACAAAACACCAGATTAGGTATTACTTCCTTCTCTGTCATTTTCAATTGTTAAGTACCTAAATTGAAAAAAGCATACAAAACAAATATATTAAAAAAATTATTTAAATCTGTGTGAAAATATTTTTAAAAGCGTTTTTTTGGGTTTTCAAACAGCCCTAAATGTGTGTACCTGGGAAAAAAGGGTAGCTGGCTTCTACAGAGTTTGAAGTGAGCCAGGCTGCGTTATTTGTGGTTTCATATTTTATATATTCATATATTAATTAGTGACTATAAATGGTGATTTTGATTATTTAAAATATTTTAATCTTTATCTCTTTTTTTTGACGAAAAAAATCAAAATAACTCTCCCTCTCATGCCCACACACGCACCTATTTTATTTATCAACGATAGAAAAGTGTGTGAATTTGTGTGTATAAGGGGCTTTATTGACAATTTGCATTAGAATGTTGACAAAACTGTTGAGCAATCTTTTGGAAATTGGAAGTGTAAAAAAATTATAGATGTAAAAGCTTTGTAAAAGTTCAACCACCTATGAGTGTTAATTACTAATTCGGCTCTCTTTGTTCCTTCTCCTTTGGAAGTATTCTTATTACATATTTCTCCCTCTCTCTGTTTTTTTTTTTTTAATATAATATATTACTTCTTCATGATAATATTTTACCTGTAATTGTGTTTTCCTGTCCATAGTATCTTTTTCTCTCTTTTTAGAGTTAAGGTGTATATTTATTTTAAATTTTTTTGCTTAAAATTATAGTTAATATCAATGATCATTATCATTATTTTAACTATTAATATTGATTTTTTTAATGGGATAAGGTAATAGTATTATAATTTTAAACTTTTGAGGCAACTTTACACACACAAAAATTGGGGTGCCCAATATTTTTAAGTGAAAAATTTCAGAACAAATTTATACTTTAATCTTTATTTATTTTTTAATCATTCGTCTAATCATCTTATTTGCATAAATAAATTAGTTAAACGAAAATATGAGAACATGAAAATTATTTTACCGTTTAAGATCACTACGTCGGGGATGATTTTGTTGTGAAAGTAAAATGGATAATTTTTTCATATAATTATCTTATTGGATTCGATTTTAGCAGTAGGCATTCAAATTTAATATACTCCCCCGATTTTATTTATAGAGCAGAAAGAGAGCAATTTCTGGGTTATATTTATACGGCAAACTTTATATAAATATTTAATTTTATTTTTTATTTAATATTCTGTTAATTTTAAATAAAAATTAATAAAACTTAATTTTTTTTTTTATGATAACCGTAACACATGATGAAAATGAGTTGTAAATGAGAGATGTCTAATAACCAAATCTCATATTTAATAAGATAGGATGAATAGTTATGTGAGTGTGAACACAGGCACGTAGGGGTGATTATTAAGTATTTATTTGATTTGACCTGACGTCTTGACAGCTTAATTTATGCAGTCAAGTTCCGAGAAAGTGACGACTTTGATTAGTATATAATCAATAAAATAAACGCATACACGTATAATATTCGTGGAAGAATTTGGGATATTTGATTAAGCCATCTATCTGTCAATTATCACATTTAATACTAATAGTATCATTAGATCATATTATCTCTTATTTTTAATATAAGCCATAATTAATTAATTTTAAAAAATTAAAAAAATTAGTTAAATTAGTTATTTATAATAAATAAATATTTTTTTAAAAATATCTTTATTAATTATGTGAGTTTGAATTACAAATTAATAGTAAATCCGTAACATATGCAATCGCTACAGAGATTATTAGAGAGCAAAATAAATAAATACTGGAGACCAAATAGATTAGAATTTTATATTTAGAACCAAATTAAAAGCTAAACTAATTTTTATATTAGGGATACGAAATACTAATAATCAATTGAGTATTATCAGCCTGACTCAGATAACGTGATTTTTCACATTACAGATCCCACCTCTCAGCATCGTGTAAGGATAACTGATTTCCTTCCTTTCGAAACAGTGATAGAGGAAGGGGATTAGGAGTCTTAATCGTAATCACCCAAATTTTTATCTATTTAAATTTTTTTAATAATTTTCTGTTATATTCCCTCCTCCATTTAAAAAAGGACAAAATCTAAAAATATTACTCATTATTATATTTAGTAACAGAAGAGTCCTGATTAAGGATATTTTTGAAAAAAATTTATTAATTGCACCTTAAAAATTTAAAAATATCTTACATTTTTAAACATATTAGTCTTTTACAGAAACTTCTCCTGCTAAAGCTCGTGATTGAGAATTTGGAATGAGTTCTTTAGGTATTCCAACTCCCAAACAGCGTGCAAGAATTTCTCCCCTTCCTTTATCTCCTTTTCTCTTATATTCTGCCGTTGCTTATCTCTTTTTTTTTTTTGTTGATCTGAGCTTATCTCTTTTATTTGGAACCTTGCAAAAGACAGGGTTTTTATCATGTGTGCGAATAATAAAGCTTGTATCATTATATTCTACTTCCCTGGCAAATAAACACGCGGATGGAGAAACAAAAAATCAAGAAAAATTCTGGTTGTGAAGATTCCATACATTTTATTTCGCTCAAAAACATTTTTTAAAAATACTTTTACGTAAGTCGAGACAAAATTCTTTTTATATATTTACTTTATATATTAGAAAATTACTTTTAAAATCATGATTTGGTTTTCACCCAAACACCTCTTAACGTCAAGATTCATTGATTGACGTTTAAAAAATATGATCAAATTTAAAAAAATTTATGTTTCTGTTATTAGGACCTTTTGAATGAAAATATGGTAAAAAATGACCATCCAAATAATAATACTGCGATATTTGTAAAAATATCCTTAAAAAAAATCAACAAAAAGTTCCTCTTTAATTTTTTTGTTAGTTAGAACCACTTGAGTCCAGGTGTTAATACTTTTAATGTATGAAATTTTGCAGAGCACCGATAGTTTTTCTGTATAAAAACATATTAGGTGTTTTTAGCCAATAAAATTTTTAAACACATTTTTTTTACCAATTTTGTTTTAGAAAAAAGATGGTGAGGGACAAACATTTTGGGGGAGAGGGAGGGTGAGTGTGAATGCGGGTTGCAGTGAGAAAGGGAAGAGTCTGACTCATGTGATCGTTGGAGATGACTCAGTTGCCCACGACAAACAAATCAACAGCACTCCCCCACCCTACCTGCCTAATTCTGGCGGCGCCTTGTGGAGGTTTCTCTTCCTTTTTTTTTTGGCTCAGACAATAGGATCTCCTTTATTCTTTTGTTCTGTTCACTCCCACTTTGCGCAAAACACTTGGAAAAATTATGACTAATAACCAAACTCATAAATCTTTTATTCTTTTTAAGAATCACTATTGATAAAATAGTCACTGTCTCACTCATAAATTTGTGTTGTTTGAGTAATAGATAGCGTCAAATATGTTGCCAGTTGTAAATTTACTTTATATGAATGATAAATACTAGAAATTTTAACCGATAAATTTATATTAATAGGTATTACTTGTACAAGATGTTTCAACTTTTGTCTTCTGGTCTGGTCTGAATGGACCTTAAAATTCTTTTCATGCTTTTCCGTGGAAAAAAACTGCCCCGGCATAGAAGGAATAGATTTGCTTTTTGATGGCAGCGTCAGTGTGAACGAAAGAATGCGAGATGTACGACAAAGACACGTGAATTCATGCTACCGTTGAGTAAGAGAAAATGGAGAATTATAATTACCAATAAGTCTGAGTCACAAGGAAACAGTTATTATTTCTTACTTTAAAAATTAAGACTATTTAATGTTTCTTACTTCAAACTTCACAGCAATAACAGTAACAGTAACAGGGAAGCATAAAGTGACGTTTGCCCAATAAAGAAGTTGATATCAGCCCACCAGTTTAATATGTTCAATCAATGTTGGAAAGTTAGCTTTCCTACAAAGTGCCAAACCAGCGTAGTGCAGACATATAATCCAGACTCCATATAAATGATGCTTCTCAAAACATCATGTAAGGGCTCTTGGCCATCTGCTAATACGAGAAACCCACCGCTTTACCTTTTGCCTCACAAGAAGTAATATATTTTAAAACATAAAAGCTACCCTACTAAAATAGACCTCACAAGACCAGGAGAGGGAGTGTCAAGTGAAGACGGCAAATAACTCACGTCAGTTTAGTTGTTGGGGGCATTCCATCGTGATTAACAACTGCAAGTTGTAGCAGATCTTACCCAATACCCACCACAGCACATAGGCCATTCGGCATAAATGCTAAAA